TTTCTTCCTGAGTGCAGGCATATTTATCCCATCACTATAGAACAGATATACACTATTGCGATTTATGCAATTCAGAGGAATAAGAATGATAGCAAAGGCCAGAGGGGAAGAATCTATTTATTGAAAACCTGTGTTCAAACAAAACTTCAAATTAAATCAGTCATACTTGGTTTTACCTGTAGTTATGGAAATAAAACTGCAAATATCCTCCAAGTAATCTTATGATTCATTTTTGTCCCCAGTAAAATTAAGGCAGGTATCACATGAACTTTTACTTACTTTACCTGGAAATAATACAAAATTATTATTTTGTCTGGGTTCAACTGGGGCTGACAAGGAGAGTATTTCAAATCTAACAGTATAAAGCAAAGATAAATTTTTACAAAATTTACAGGCATTTAAAGATGGGAAACCTCAGCACAAATTCCTGAAAAATGAAACTTCCAAGGTTTCAACAGCTCTGTGATTTCAGAAATCAGCAGAACAACAAAATTAACTCATACCCAGCAGAGCCCAAATATATGTCTCCGAAACATATGTGTTGATATTTTGGCCTAATGTAATCTGTACAGAGAATCTGGGATGAACTTTTTGTGACTGGCTGTATTTCTCCTGCACTGGTCAGCACAAAGCCAGGACTCTACTAAGGCATTACTCTTTCCTGTGATCAGTTGGTTACTACTTAACGGAAACTCAAGGATACCCTAACTAAAGTATCTGTTTAGTAAAATACTAAAGAAATACTGTTGAATTTTCAGATTCCTTCTGTTACTTGTATGAGAATACACTGTGCATTGTACAGACAAGTGTAAGGAGACAATTTTCAGAGGCTCTGACAGCTGTTGAGACTCAGAATGCTGGATGCTACTACATCCCTGACAAATCCTAAACCTTACAAAGCACAAGGAATGTCAAACTTACTGAACTTCAATTTTGGCAGATGCAAACTGTTTGAGACCCAGGGTGGTTTACCATGTAAGGTATTCTTACAAATAGAGGATGCTAAAATTTTAGTTCCTGAGGCAGTTGCTTTGTTCTCAAGTCGGTGTTTCATCCAGTTGTGAAAATAAATGGGCAAAGTTATTCAACCATCCCTGCTTGCATCCCCAAATCCCAAGTATCATACACAAATTTTGTATGATCCATATCTTAGTGAAGGCAAGGGGTCATGCCTGTTTGCATTCAGGCATGGAATGAGTAACTAACATTTTTACCAGTTGCATTTTACTAAGAATTTATAACTTCTGGTGGCTTTATTTTATAATTAGGTGCTCTAAAATTCATTTCATTAACACAGCAAAACTGATGTTTAGCTGTGGGATTCATACACCGTGAGCCTTAAAATGCAAGCATTTGTGACAGAAACTTTTTTCATTTTGAACACTAGGGTCACAATTATTTATCACTATTTTTTTTCTTTGTGTTCTTAACATTTAAGTAAATCATAAATTCGAGTAAAACACAGTTTCAAACACTTTAATGTCATGAACTAATCTTTCATGCTGTTGCACAAAAACTCATCATCACATGCCTTTGGCAATATAGCATTTGTTTACAGGAGAAAGCTATTTCAGGGACATTTGCCCTTTTAGATATATGTTAGGAGCAGGAAATAAAAGACAACTAATGGGGATTTACATATCACAAGAAGAATTTAACTGGATCCCCATGGCTGACAGGTGAAATTGTGAGAGCGGTGAGAATGTCTGACCCACACATCAGGTGTAGTTTAACTAATAATGCAGAAATAATACACATATACATTACTTGACAGTTCTTCTGAGTGAATGTCTTTGAGGATTACATAATTGCAGTTCAGCTTTACCCAATGTTGTTGCCCCGCAATAAAATTTCTTTTAGCTGTCATTTTGTTAATTAGAAAATAATGCTTGAAATGGTGGGATAATGAGTAATCTGTTTATCAAATCCACAGTCAGATAGACAGCTTTTAACTTACATCAATATGCTCACAGTTCAGGTGATACTGTTCAAGTCCTAGTCAGAATAGTAGACTAAATACACACCTGCATGGAAGCCTGAATTTCGATACAGTGGAATTGAGCCTTGGATTTAAGCACAATATGACTTCCAAATTCTAAGTCAAAACAGAAATTTATTAATAATTTTTGTTACATTTTTTTTCAAGATGAAAAACAAAGTAATAAACTATGAGCAAAAATGATAGAACAGGAAAAGGAAAAAATATTAAAAAGCTGCTTTCAGTTTTGCTATGTTCTTGTTCTGCCTTTGCAGCTTTGACTCTTGCAAAATATAAACAAATATTTAGGTTCATGAAAGAAAAAATACAGTTCTTCTCTGGAAAAGAAAAATGAAATCTGAGTATACTTAAACTTCAGTTTTATTTCATAAAGCATCTCACTAAAAAGGTGAGAGCACACCTAATAGCCATATATGTCATTGTATATTTCAAATCAATTTTGTGTGGGCTGATATATGACCAAAAATTTCTCTGTTTGGATTAAACAGCATTTTGGAAACTGTTAAATCAGATTATGATCTAATAACCAGTTCCCAAAACCTTGCAGAGGATACAGTCTATTACAGTTTTTTTCTAATAATCCTAATAGTCCCCTTTTCACATAGAAACTGAAATTGTTTTAGTTGTTATTTCCCCTAATTTGTTCCAATAAGTTTAGAACTGCTTTAGCATCCACTTACTGCATGTACTCTAGTCTAAATTCCCTGCAAAATAAACAAACTTACTGTTTAGAGAAGAAAATGGATGTAGAACATGTGAAATTAATTGGAGGGATGTCATGATTTAGTCAGAAACTGACCATTTTAAATAAAAAGGTTGTGTGTATGCATTGTATATTACCCCCTAATTTGGGGATCTACACATTGTCTTATTGAAAAAAGCAAAATGAAAACAAAAATCAGAGACTATTTGGTCTGCACATATGGTGCTGCTTTTCCTACTGTGACATATTGTAAGTTAAACTTATACTTTTTCTCTTCTGCATAGCTTTAAAATTCTTAAATACTAACATCATTACTTGCTATAAAAAACTCTTTTAAATACATTAATGAGGTTGTTCCAAGTTCCATTATATGTATTTTGTACAGACAAAATGTATCTCTAAAGACCTCTTTAGAGTTGTATTGAGACATATTTCTTTAGTTCAATCAAAAAGAAAAAATATTGAATAAAATAAAACAAGTAAAAATAATTCAATACACCAAGAAATGACCTAACATTAACAAAGATTCTAACTCAGTTTTGCTAACCTTGTTAAGGAAAGAAATGCTTTCATAAAAATCTGTCAACTGCTAGCTTTTGCAGAGAGAGAGAACAAAGTCATGCTGCAGTAAAACCAAAACCAGAAATTGAGCTCTTGGGTTCAAGATCATAAATATTATCAGTGTGAGAACAACACACAGGAAAAAGTTGCATTAAATTTGCTTGTGCATCTGCTTGTTTGCAATGCAGAACAAGTGTCCTGGGAAGTGCAGCAAACTACGGCAGTGCAGCAAACTACAGCCCATCATTATCAGATAGGCAAGAGAACAGCAGGGCTTCCCACTCACGTCTTCTTTCAGTAGAAACTAAGCTTAAAGTTCCCTTGGACTTCTCTTGGAAAAGTGTTATTAATGTCTTTGAGAAAAGTTTTCATTTAAAAGTTAATATTTATTTAGCAATTCGGTTCACACGTATAATTGAAATACCACTATTGCTTACAAGTTCTTGTGTATGTGACAGAGAACTAGGAGTGTTTTATAGAAACTGCTATATATGTAACATCTCACACCATATATTTAGCAAAGCAAGCAGTGTTTATCTAAAATCTGTGATTTAGTTTAATCCCCATTTCAAAAAGGAAAAAATTACTAAAGACAGAAATACTTCTTGCTTCACTTATAGTTTGCAGATACAAAAAACAGTGTTACATCTGAAAACTTTAAAAAAAAATGAGCACTTGCCTGGATTTGTTTTTGCTTTCATTCTGTATATTCTTTATGATAAGATAAATGTGCTTTTGGGGGCTGCAATGAAATCCATAATTTAGTTTAATATTAAGTTCTTTACAAAAATACCTTATACATGATTAATAGATTTAAAAGCCCTAACAATGTATTACAAGTCCATCATTATGGATTGCTTATAACACCATTGCTACCCTGTATAGGAGTGATGCCTCTAACCATCAATAATATTTATTCTTTTCAAATACATGACACAGATATAAAATCTATTAATTGTGCATCAACCTGTTATAAGCTGAACTTCTACTTACAGTGCTACCAAATTACATTTATAGTTTTGACTTCAAGTAATTAGTTTCAAATTCTGAATGTAATTCCAAATGATACAGGGAGTTATCAAGCACTGAGACTTGGCATCTAAGACAACTAAATACTCATGTCCTTGGTGTGTGAACATTTCAGTTTAATCAGTCTAGCCCTGAATGGTTTTATTCTGCTACCATACTAAAGTTGTGGGTTTAGAAATAATTATACAGACCATTGTTTTTGTAGCTTTTTAAAAAGAAAACAAAGTCTGAGATAATACAATTTCTCAAAAAATAAATAGTCCAAACCTTTTGGCAGTCTGTTTCCCCCTTGTAAATAGCAGTCATTTGCTTGTATCTTCCTACTCTGGTTTACAAGAAAACACTCTTTAGCCAATAGATGACTTTTTTATTAGCAACCGATGATGTGATGCTGGAAATTATTTTGTAAAGAACACTCTGACATGGAAGGTGTTTGATTTTGTTCCTCTTGGTTTATGGTTTCATTGGGTAATATTGTTTAAAAAGACAGACAAGAAAAAAAAAAGCAAATCAAAACCAAAAAAAAACCTCCCTGGGACTGAAATACTTTGTATGTGTTGTTGTTTGCAGTGCATGCCAAGACATTCATGGGCACCAGAGCCAACCTGGCGAGCTAATTAAATAAATAAATGTATATGTTTAAAACAGCCTTATAAGGAGCATTGGAAATCTGCAAGATGAGCGAATATCTTATAACTTCTTCCGCAGGTGCGAGGATAGCTACAAGCCATGGACTTTCTGTCCTGCTTCTTGTTTGTGGCTTTGTGAAGGGTGCTTTGCTTTAATCTAAAAGTGCTGACTTTTTCCAATATCACTTTCTCTTCTTAAAGCAAAGAGCAAATCGCCTGTAAAATCCACGGAGCGGACAGCAAAGTTGACCCTAACCTCCAACCACCACTCTGCACCCAATGTACTCTAAATCTCTACACAAGGAGCACCTTCTTCAGGAAGTACAAACAAAATTACTAAATAAATAAAATAAAATAAAATAAATATTATAAAAAGAAGAGGATACCACATGTTTTCTTGATATATCTTATTTTCTTTGGCGTATCACTGATATTTTATTTGAAGAGAACTGGTGTGATGTAATCAAACGTTTTGTAACAGCAAGACCTAGTTTCCTTTTCTTTCGGCAAGGAGAAGCCTCATCCTTGACTTCTCAGGGGTTGGCCTGCGAGTCCTCAGTATTACAGAATTAACCATGGATGACATTTGGTTTCCTACACTGAAAGAATTGTTCCAGCCTGGAAGCAAAAAGAGGCCAAATAATGAAACAAACTATAGTGATGTAACATAAATAGAATACACACAAACTTTATAAAAAGTCTTGTTTTTCTTTTCTTTTTGTTGGTTTTTTTTGGGTTTTTTTGGTTTTTTTTTTTTTTTTTTCATGAGGAATAGGAATATTCTACTAAGCAGCTCAGCAAACTAGGGGATGTTGTTTCTGAAAAACATATGAGGATATTTTTCTTTTGAGATTTTTTTTTTCTATATTCTATTCTTTTCCCTCTTTGGGGTTTTTTCCCTGTCTTTCTATTTGTTTCTTGTTCAGTGATGACAAGTACCAACTTAGGCCAACCCCTGATGACTATGTGGAGGTTTATATATATGCATCCTTTTTTTTTGTGTGTGTGCGTTCTATATTTCAGTGTGTTTTCTCTAATTTTGCAACTCCTGTATATGCAAAACCAACTTCAATTCTGTAAATTGCTTACAGTCTGTGTGATATAACTTCAGAGTAGACATACTTTGGTCCTCATGCAAGCCAGTTTTTAATATTATCTGTATGTCGTGCCACCAAGAAACATCTTTATTTCCTTTTTTGAACAAAAACACCACTTTTTAGTTTTTAATTCAGTAATGTGTGGATTTTGTAATGCATACCTTCACTTTGAATGGTTTGATCCCCTTCAGCCCTCTGTTTACTCTGTAAATGCACATTAAAATTTGTTATGGTCTCTAGACAATGAATTATTTTAGTTTGTATGTTGTGTTGGAGTTCAGATGCTGAAAGCTCTTTGAACTTGTGATGTTTATAGAAGATTAAGTGATTCAATCACTAGAGACTGTAAAATGCAGGTTTGCAGTCAAATACTGCACATAAAGGAAGGTTAGAAACAGAAAACTGACAAATAAACCAGAACATGTCTTTAAGGATGTTCTTTTGGTAAAGAGTTTTAGGAGAGTGAATTTATTACACTGATAAAATATATTTGCATCACAGCTCCTTCTACATGGCCAAAGAAATGTCTTTTTTTGCTTTTTCTGAAAGTGGATTGTCATTACTCATTGATATTCTTAATTAAAATACTTTTTGTCTGTGAACTGAATGTGAGAATTTTGCTGTTGAATGATGTAATATGTGTTACATGAATTACATTCATTAATGCAGGAAGCAAAAATTGCTACCATTTGCAGCTGCAATCAGGAAGGTTTTTTGCTTTTTCCCGTCTTTCCACTGATGCTGAAAAATTCACACCCTTTCATTTGTCAGCACAGACAATCACATACACCACATGCTTATTATGATCTATTTATAGCAGCATTAAGTAGCTGCAGTGTGGTCAGCTGTGTGATTTCTCCTCACTTCGTAAGTACTGCAGAAGAAATTTTAAAAGTATGTTTATTATCTCCCAGTCTGTGGTCTACAGGCCTAAAATTTTGTTTCAAAATGCTCATAAGTCCAATGCCTTCCCCCATTACTTTCAAAGGATAAAGAACAAATAAAGGCATAAAATCAACATTTTGTTAACCTAATGCTTTGGAACACGATGACATATTTGTGCAGATCTAATTTTCCATAAATTCTGTAGTATAAGCTTGACTGGGAATAGCCAGTCTTTCTTCAGTTTTAGACAAGTCTTAGCAGTAATAAAGTGAGCAGGAGTTCGGCATAATACAAACAAATCAGGTGTAACCATCAGGAGAAATAAAATTTCTTTTATTTCAACATAAAATTTATGACCCACTTAGAGTGTTGTATATTGAGAAAGTTTTTCTCCATAGTTATAACAGTTTATCAGGCTACTGACAAATTAAAAACTGTCCCTATTAAAATGTTCTGAATCCAAGCCATTATTGTGGATCAGAGAGGACAGGAAGAGGAAAGAAAAAGTCAAGGGTCAGAGCTTTTTTGAAGTCTTACTTTCTGAACACACCTGTGGAACCAAACTTTGAGAGTTCTGGAGAAAAATCTCCATTTTCTTTCTGAAACAGATATCTGTGACTGGATGATGTGAGAATCTCCTGCTTGGAGCTCAAAAACTTCAGTTTCCATTGGTCTTAACTGGAACCAAATGCTTAATGTCACATTACTGTATTGTTTACTGTATCCATATATCTTGTATGAATATTCCATGTATGCACATAGAGACTACCCATCATGGCATATGGAATTTGACAGCACAGTTTAGCCTCACATTGCTTAAGTTGTTACTATGTTAAACTGATACTGTGTTTTGCTTTATGCTGTTAGCTGCTTGGATATGAACCACCATGTACTAGGAATTCAGATTAAAGAACGAGCTGAAATTAAAAGCAGAATTCTAGACCACTTGGATTAGTGTGATGCAAGCCTGAAGACATTGCCATGTTGGGATCTGCTATTGTACAACTGTGCCAGCAAAAAAAAAAAAAAAAAAAAAAAAAAAAAAGGGGGAAATCTGTAGGAGTTTGAAAAGCCTTTAAATTTTCCATGAGATGCTAAGAGGACGCAGAAATTGTCCTCCTTTCCCTCTTGAAACAACATACCCAAATTCTTCAGATGAGGCTGATTGAGCCCTTCTGGTTGCAGATCTAGAGCACAGCTTTACTTCCTGCCAATCTGTGTGGATGCAGCAGCAACAGGAGCAGGTATTACATTTCTAAATTTTAAACTGTGTCTTAACAGCTATTCTTCAAATTAAGAATTTCTCAGAATGGAAGTTAAGATACAGTAGACACCCTTGTTTCTAGGAATTCTGTTATGAATAATATTTGTCACAGGAATGAAGCTACTACAATTTTCTGCCAGGTGCAGTTCTTGTTTGGATTTAACACAAATAGTTTTTTAAAAAGTGGCTTAATTAAATCCTGAAAATCTCCCTATTGTGTAGGGTATTTAGAAGGGAAGTTTGCATCTAGCAGTTGTAACATCTCTCAACTCAATGTCCTTATCCCTTTTACAAAATGAGTCCAGTTTTGAGGGGGTCTTTTACATGACTCATGCTTCTCAATTTGTGTCCCCAAAGCCTCACTGCGTATGGTGATGTTCTTCAGGTGTTTCCAACAGGTTTTGCTTTTCATAGAAGAATAAACATGGGTGAGTATGAAACACTTTTGTATTTTAAGGTATATGCCATCTACACTCACACACTTTGAGATTTGATGTATCATCAGATACTAAAAGAAACGTGTTCCAGTCCAGTGAGGTGTCAATGACAGTCTTTGTATTACATGGAAAAACAATCCATGGCATTCTGGTACTGCTACCAAGGATTTGTACTGCAACAGAGCCTATCTCAAAATTTCTCCTTTTCAATGATTATTAAATATTCTTTTAAGCTCTGGAACCGCGTACATAGAAGTTGCTTCATAAAATATTTGAATGTCTCTTTCTTAATTGTATTTGGTAAACTTAGCAAAGAAATTTGTGGACCATGAGGAGGGCTCAGACCATGGGTTTAAAAAATCTTGGCAGACTAACTTAAGATTGATGGTTCCTCAGAGCTCCTATTAAGAAAGCTACTAGAAAATTTGAATGGTAAACACAGAATCTATCGGAAGTAATTGTTATTTCTTTTTCATTCTCAATATTGAATATTTATATTAAAGCACTACCCGAAGGCAAAGATCAGAAGTAGGTATAAACATGAGACACCATGGCAAAAACGATAGGACTTTTTGGAAGTTCATACATTTTCATCTAATTCAGTGCTACTGTGATTGAAGACCAGAACATGTGCTAAAATCAGTCTTTTTCACATTCAGTCTTTAAAGTGCTATCACTTCATTCAAATAAAGTGAGGAAACAGTGACCAGCACAAAAATCTGATTGCTTGCCTGATATTTTTCAGTGTTAAACATTTAACTTCTATGATCTTTGATTTCTAATGATCTTATCTTCTAACGATCCTAAGTGATGTCATCATTTAAGTCATCATTAAAAAAAAAAAAAAAAGATTCCCCCCTCCCCCCAAAAAACTAAAACTGGCACAGCTGAAAATCTTAAATTCCATCCTTAAAAAATTATATATATTAAAAAAAAAATTCAAACCTTTGTCATTTACAGGGTATGGGAACATTTTTCCATGACATTACTGTTGGTAAATGTCAAACATTGTTTATACAGCTAAAAGCATTAGGAACCAAGATTGGGATCATCATACTTTCTAATATAAATTTTTAAAGGTTAATCTTCCATGATTAGCTCAGCTAAACAATGCTAAGCACACAGTAAATTGATTAATGCAACTCACTATAAATGCCTTCAGTCTTCTGTTCTGAGCTTCCTAAATATTGATTTATTTCATTTCACAGTCATAAAGTTTGCACATACATTGACATAGCTGAAAGATTATACATATTTTTTCTGCTGATATTCATCCAAAGAAATGTAAGAAGAATGGTAAATTTTTCTGTAACAATGGATTACAATCAATTGGTGAAGGTACTTGCAAAGAAACAAATGTGCACTTTCTTGAGAGTCAAGTTTAATTGCAATTCATTACTTAAATTCTCCTTTTTGTGCTATTCTTTTTTTGCCAACATTTCAATCAACTTCTAAAACAATACTATATATCTTATTACTCCCTAAAAGGTGACAGGACAAAATAATGTCACCTTTGTTATGAAAAATCTAGGAGGGAAGAACAATTTTTTTTCATTTAACAACATTTTAAACTCTCACTGTTACAGTATCCTATCACCTCAAAATATCTTGAGATATATTAATATATATATAGAGAGAGAGAGAGAGAAAGAGAGGTAGATATATATAGATACAGATATATATAATTTGATTTCCAACTCTATCATGCTGATAATAGAGATGGTCTTCAGATGAGAGCAAATGAATTTTTCACTTATTGAAATGCTCCTTTACACTGATATTACAGCACAGAAAGAGTTCTTATGTGTATATGAGATTATTTAATGAGTGACAGCTCATAAGGAAGCCAAAACATACATAATAGACTATTAATTCCTTTCTTGTTTTTATATGCCATGAACTTGAAAAACAAGAGAGGAGATTGCATCTGACAACTAGCTGCTTAAAATAAACCATTTCATTCAAATCTTTGAAGAAACAAATTCCTTATTAAAATGCCTTGTATAACTATAACCTTTTAAACTACATGGGGCTTCGATTTTTAAGAAGAGTTATATATATTATATATCTTTGTACATAAAATTTGGAAGGAAGGAGTTAATAACTTCTTTTGCTGCTTCTGGTAGAAGATTATGTTCATTGCTGCTGATTGTCTTCAATACCAAATGATTTAAGAGACCCTTTAAATTACTGGCAACCATACTTTGAAAAAAACAAAAGAAAATTCCAATTTCTCTGATCATGTACAATACACTTTAGTTTCTGCATATTAACCAGCACTGGTTCAGGTTTTAAAAATGTTGTTTTTTCATCATAATAGAAAAGAAGTAATCCATACTTTATTAAAAATAAATACCAACATGTTTATGAAACCACCTTAATGTCTTTTTCTTTGGTGATTCATGCACAAGATATGTTTTGTTCATATATTTAAATCTGCTCAATGGGGCTAAGCACTGAAAAAAACAGAGGAAAATGGTTCCTAGTTGTTCCAGCTACTAGTTGAAATGTTGTGTAAGAGAGAAAACAGAGGTGTGACTCTTTCTGTTTCCCTACCACGGCCAAAACCAAAGAACCTTCACAGGGTCTAACAAAACAAATCACTGCTCTAACAAATAACAGTGGTAGTTCAACTATGCAACAAGGTGAAAAACAACAGAATTGAGTGCAATTTCTTTAGCAAAATGCAAAGCTTTTTCTTCCAAAACTATTACTCTCCCCACCAGTATGAAAGGTCTTGCAATCAGGGCTTTGAACAGGCAAAGTATTTGTCCGCCTCTTGCAGCTGCCCAATGGCAGCCCCAAAGAGACTCAGCTGTCTCCCTTTCACCAGCTCTGTCCTACGTATGATTATAAATCATGAGGGCACTCAGAAGATGAATATATATTACAGAATAATAACCTTCTATACTTACACCTTTTTTTTAAACTATTTTTAACAGAAAAATCTTTTTGTCTCAGTTAACTTTATTTTAAAAATTAAGGCCATGTTTATGTAATTCATAAGCATTGTAGA